CCACTGCCTGCCCCCGAGGGCCTGTCAGTCCTGTCCGTACCCTGAAGCAAGCTCATCAGCGCCCCAGGTGCTGGGCCATCTCCCACACAGGTGACCCACCCACCCCTCTCCTCCCACTCCTGAGTCCTATAGGCCACACACAGAGCCACCCGGTCCCTGTCCCTTCTGCTACAACCCCTAGTCCTCGTGGCTTCATCTTGCCCTGCATGGACACAGCCCCACAAACCCCTGCTTCAACTCTAACTCCTCCCAGTCATTCATGGATGGAAGTCTAAGCTAAATATGACTCACGATCCCCTCTACCCAAAAGCCATCACTGTCCTCCTCCCGTGCTGGACTAACACCCAGGCTCCTCACCTTGGCTTTTAAGGCCTGCACACTCTGTGCCTACCATCCATCACCCCTGAATTCAACTCCAGTGACCCTGGCCCCTGGCGGATCTGCCTCAGGGCCTTTGCATGTGCTATGCTCAGTGCACTGAATCTGAGATGGAGACAGGGAGGACACTGTCCATTTCTGCTGGCTCACTCAGCTGGTCTCAACTGGCAAGTCACCTCCTCGGCAAGACTCTCATGATACAGATCTTCCAAGCACGGCTTTTCTTGGCATGCTCAGTTTTGTTGGGGTAACCATCCTGACTTATGGGTCCACTAAGTGAGCCTTAAATCAGCCCTCACCTCTTATCATGAGGCCAGGGAGCCCCCATATAGTCTTGAGGGACACCCTGACCTACCCCCACATCCAGCTCCTCCCTTGGGCAGCCCTGAGCACTGTAACATTATTGTGCCAAGCAAAGTGACAGCCACAGAGCGGAACCTCCGTAAAACCCTGGTGAGCCAGGCGACCCAAAACCATTTAGGGTGTTAGAACAAACTTTCTTCTAAGAGCCAGTTATATCCAAAGAAGGAAGGAAGGAAGGAAAAAAAAGCAAAAGAAAAACAACAACAAAGCCCCATCGGAGCCCAGCACACGTGCACACTTTTTCCTGTAACCTCCGAGAGGACGAGCAGTCTCTCGCGCCTCTCCTTATATAAGGAGCAGCTTAAAACCACCAGGCACGGGAAAAACTGAAATTCTATAATGCGGCAAATGGAAGCGGGCGGGAGGCCAACGTGCAGACAGAAACACACGGACGTGGCGGTCACATGCGCAGGGCAGCTGCAAGCCCGGCCGGGGTCAAGCAGCTGCGCTGCCCTCTGGGGGGCAGAGCGGGCAGCCCTGGCCCCCACCCGGAGGGGGCTGTTCACCCTCTCAGACAGCATCATCGTGAGACCCTCGCTTCCACTTCTCAAAGGTGTCTCCTTTTTAAAAACTTCCCCTTTTTTTCCTTCTCGCGTGGTAGTGCAGTTTGAACCCAGGGCCTCTGAACTAACCTACACCCTGAGCTCTTTTTCATTTCTCATTCTGAGACAAGGTCTCCCCAAACTGTCCAGGCTGGGCTCGAACTTGCAACCCTCCTGCCTCGGCTTCCTGGCGCGTTGGGATTATAGACATGTACCATCACATCCAGCTCAGAGGTTTCTTTTCATTTCTTAAAACCAACTTCCTACACTAAAAATCAAGGACTAGCTCCTCTCATTTTAAAGAGAACCCTCTACTAAATTATTTTTTTTAATCTACTTTGCATCTCTTGACTACAGATTTTTATAGCATACACTGGGCTTTCAAAGCCACAGGTCAAAGGAGGCTTGTGTCCTCGAGGGACACACAGACTTCAGGAGTAGCTAGCTCCCTTGGGACTCCTCCTCGGCTGATCCCTTCTCCAGAGCCTTCCTTGCCCTCCTCTGACCCCACAAACAGCAGAGTCTCTGCGGGCGCCCGCAGGGCTGCACCCCTCTTCCTGCTCTGGGCCTCAGCACTTGCTTCTCCTGGCTTCTCTCTTGATCTCCACCGCTATCTGCACATCTGCTTCTATTTCTGGACTGCTGCACCGAGCCCTGCTTCTCACGTGGCCCGGGAGCTGCCCCCAGCCAGGGCCAGTGAGGATCCCCTGAGAATCAGCAGCGGCTCCAATGAGCCGGTGACCGGGGCTGAGGCTCGCCCAGGACAGCTGGCCAACCTGGGGAGGGCGCAGCAGGCAGGCCCGTGGGCGTTTCTACATGACTCCCTCTGCACCAGCGAGGGGGAGGCAGAGCCAGCTGCAGAGACGCCCCGGACCAGGAAATCCCTGCACCAAGAAGCGCCACCACTGTCCAAAGCCTGGCTCCACCACGGAACAACCAGGGCTGGGAACAGTTCGTGGCCTCACCTCGGCCTGGCTGTGACCTGCTTTACGCCACTCTTGTGAGGATTAAATATGTTAAAACACGTTCAGCGCTGGGTCAGGATCTCACCTGCAGGAAACGCTCACTGAGAGCTTATTACTGTCTTGCTGAAACACAGGCTCACCAGGGTGAGCTTGCTGGCTGTCCTGTTCTTATGACCTCCCAGATTGCAGCACTGTGCCTGGTCCATAGTAAGTGCTCAAAAACATTTGTTGACTGATTGGTGAAATGGACAGAAATTCCAGAAAGAGCCTAACTCCTCCGCTGACCTTGGCTCTTACCTAACCCCCACAAAGCAGCGAGAGTGGGGTCCCGTCAGAGCTGATCAGATTGTGTATCTTCCCTGGCCCAGCCCTGCATGCTCTAGCCCATTGCTACTTTTCTTCCCTCTCCCTTTATGCTCCAGGCATACTGGCCTCCTTCAGCTCCTGGGATGGTGTAGTTCTTTGTGCCCCTGGACATTTGCACATGCTGCTCCCCTATGCATGCTCAGCCCCAGTCCCTGATGCCCTTCCCCCATCTGCATGAATGCTTCAGTTTCACATGTCCCAAGCTCCTTGCGTATGTCCTTCATCCCACCTGCTGGCTTATATTCTCCACTTTGTGTGATTAATCAGTGTCTCTCCCCAATATAAGCTCCACAGCTGCTAATTCTTCCTCATATTTCAGCCCCACAGGACACAGCATAAACACAGGAGGCACTCAGCAAACACTTACAGAGTGAACTGAATTGATAAGACTAAGCAAAGACATCTTGGGCCCTGACTTCCCAAGCCAGGACTGCCTGAACGTGGGCCCCTACACCAGCTCTGGACAGCATCGTGGAGGCCTCCCAGAATAGGCTGCTCTCCTAATCTGCTTTGAACCAGTTTCTCTATTCCCCCAAAAGCTGTGATTCCAGCGGTCTCACAGCAACCTACAGCCCAGGCGGCCCCCTCTAAAAACAGGTCAGTGTGGGTCAGCGATGACAGGGAGACTTTCGTGGGCAAAAAGTCATTTTCAAAGGCTTCAGAGAAGGTGGTAATAATCAGACCGGCACTCCCACTAACACAGGACAGAAGTACCTGAGGCCACGGAGGTCAGGCCCCGAATAGCACTCAGGGTCAGGCTGCCTGAGGGAGCACACCCGCGTCCCCCTGGACCTGCTGCCTGGGAAGGGACATGCAGGGCTAGGGCTGAGGCCGGAGTGGAGCACGGGGTCCTGGGCTTCCCAGGCTGCAGAAGCAGCTGCTGTTCACGGCAGGACATCAGAGGCCAGTTGGCAGCTCCGGGGCCTGAGGCCTTGGCCAAGGGTCAGGCTGTGTGAGCCCAAGATAAACCACGGAGCTTACTGCAGGGAGCTGCTACAGGGTGGACGGGGGACCAGAGGTGGAGCGGGGTTCACACAGTATCGGTCCAGCCCCCACAACAAACACCCACACAGCCAGGCCTCCTGCATAAGCACACTCCTGCCAGCCAGGGCCCAGAGACAGCCTCAGTGACATCCTGTCACAAGGAAAGGAAATTAAAGGCTGAGCTCCACAGTTAGAAATGACTTGGGTCCTCCACAAATCCACCCTCGAAAAAGAAAACACCAAATGCAGCCTGCAAAGTTCAAGATCCGCCAGTTACTGTATTTCCTTTAAAGGGAAGATAACAAAATCCAGAGTCGCTACAAGGTTCCAGATCCATGATTATCACAATGCCACGGTCAAGAACTACTAGATACACAAATAGAGAGAAGATGTGACTCATAGTCAAGGGGAAAAATATCAAAGAAAAGTAACAGATTCTAACATCCCTGCAGTGAAAGAGTTAGAACAAAGTAACTTCCAGGATTCATAAATTCTTACTTTTACCCCAGAAGTCCTAGTAACCAGGAGGACACATCAAAGCACTAGTAGAGACTTTAGGGTCTGGAGGTTTTATCTGTCTGGACTTTACTCAAGTTATGTAGTTTCTAAGTATTCTTCAGGGCCCCCCAAAATCTGCTCCAGGGGTTCTGGTACATACAGTCAATTAAGCTTCCTGTCATAGAATACTTACTTTAAGGCAAACACACACACACACACAGTTACATTAATACAAATATATTGGGGATTCCGGCTGATTGAGCTGGTTGGTGGACACCAGTTCCTGGTTAACCAGACTAGATAATTACCAATAATATTTCACTCTAATTATTTTGGGAAAAAGCATACTCTCTCCACTTATTTGGAAAATAAACACTTGTCAAGTTACATCAAAAGCCGCAGACAAAGGATAGTGATTAAGAAAAAACAAGCATGTGCTCATGATTATAAAGCTTTTCACAATCAGCGTTCAAACTACAGGTTCATTATAGTATCAGGTGTATACAGTAAGAGAGTATATCAAAATACGAGTAACAATTATTTCAAATAATTTGATTATGTGCCTTTTTTTTTACTTTCCAGTTTTTTCCAACAGTCTTGTTTTTCCTTGATGGAAACTTAAAGCGATGGCTTTAGAAACCATTTTGTCAACACACAAACTTCCACAAAATGCTAGCCATCTCATAACCAGAAAGAACAGGAAAGAATCTTGCAGGTGACTATCATTTTATACTTATCTAGTTCAAAAACATCTTTCCTCCCAGGCTCCCGAGAGCCAGGTTAGCTCCTGACCCTAATGCAGCCTCAAGATGTCCTCCCTCAAAGGAGCCGGAGGCTGAATCACACACCTCTGCCTTCAGCTCAGAGACAAACCCCTAGTGACAAAGAAGAGAATCGATCCTACCTGCACGACGGGGTGACCTCCTGTTGGTGCTTTGACGGCCCCCCGGCTGCCCTCCGTCTCATAGTGGGCCCGGTGATGCGGCTTGGGCTGCACCTCGATCCGCAGCTCGTAGGAGCCCGACTGGCTGGAAAGCGGCCACTCCAGTGGGGGGAGGGATGCAGTCACTGGGATGCTGAGGAAGAAAAGCAGCGCGTCATGAGTACGGCCAACCAGGAGCAGTCACCCAGCTGCGTACAATAAATGCAAATGGCCCCTTTTCTGGAGATTACACCCGAGATATGAACAGAACCCTCAATGTTGAGGAGCTTGGTACCGATCAGGATGGCAGGCAGGGCTCTTCTCAAGGTACACGTCTTTTTCTGTGCTTTCTGTTTCATCCTCATGAAGACAAGGAGACCAGCTTCTCCATGTACGCAGTAATGTCCTTATCTGTCAGTACTAGCATGCTTCTGGTTGCTGTTGCTGCCTCCTTTGGGAATTATAAAGAACAGCACCCCTCCACACCCCAGAAGAAAACACCTCTGCTTTCCAGAGCTCTAGTGTGGAGCAGACTGCTCATGTGTGTTTCTCCAGATTTTAAGCAAGAACTTCGTCTCCCTATTCATCGTTTCTTAGAACCACGTGGCAAACAGAATGGGTGGCATCTGACAGTTGTTACAGCACTTGCATCTATTTCTGATGCTCTCATCCAGAAGAGTATTGGGAACAGCAGCCACAGTCATGACTAACTGGATCAATAAATGACGGGTCATCGAGCCACAGAGAGGTCTCCAGTTTGGGCACAGGCGAGTCAAAGCACTCAGATCTCAACATTAAGTAAGCCTCAATCACGTGACTAGAGTCCCAGCTCTACCTCCCACTGGCTGGGTAACCTGAGCCAGCGCCTCTGACGCCCTGGGTCCTAATTTCCTGGATTATGAAACGGGATCCTGAAATCCTATGGAGAGCTTAGCACAGAAAGTGCTCGGTAGATATTAACTATGATACTTTTCCTGTAATATATTCTATGTGTAAGTTAATTTCTGTAAGTGCTCTAACTTGGTTATGGGACCAGAAATATATGCCTTCACATACCTATTGGTCTGCAAGATCTTTGAAGTCTTAAGCTTCATTCTCTGATATAGGCTCAATGCTGTCTAACACACGGTAGGTGTGTGACATACATGCTTAGGGTTACATCACGGGGGAGCTGACCAGGGGCTAGAAAATCTGTCTAAATGACCCCCTGCCTTCCAGAACAAAAATCTATGCCCTCATGTCGAGACATGGCCAGGGCTTCATCTCTGGTCTCCTGACTCCAAGGCCAGACATCATTCACCCTCCACTGTCCCTCTCAATTTGCTAATTTATTAAGTCCAAGAAATCTCACTTATGGAATTGTGCCAGGGCAGATTCAGTAGATGGGTGGATACATGGGTGAACAGACGGGTAGATGGGCAAGTGGATGGATGGATGGATGGATGGATGGATGGATGGCTTCAGAACCTCCATCCCTTCTCTCCAAGCACCCTGGGCCTCTGTCACCCCGCAGCTTCAGGGTGATGAACCCTTCCCTTCCACCTTGGTGACAGTGTCACGAGGCCACCAAGATCCGCCTGCAGTCTACGTGACACCCACGTTAAATACACCTATTTCTATCATGTATGCAAACTGGAATCTTTAAGCTTGCAGAATGAGGTCAAAAAAACCCACTTCAACCCCAAATTGATCGTGTTTTAAAGTATCAAAAAATTTCAGGGCATCAAGATTTACCGAGATGTTGCCAAGTTCTAATTTCTAACCTGTTTGGTTCTGAGATAAGTATCTGACATGGAAATTCAAGAGTTAGACCACCGGAGCCAGCCTGGAGTCCTGCACTTTAATTCCAGCCCTGTTCCAAGCGTCTTCAGCTGTCCCCATGAAATACATGTCACCATGAGGCTCCCCCAATACCTGTTCTGTAGACCTTACAGGAAATGTTTGCAAATACTGGATTGGTTGGCACAGACTGGCACCTACTAGGGATTAAAGAAATCTAACACAACCCCTCAGACCAAGTAGCAAAATGGATTTTACAAAGTCTCAGACAGATTTATCATAATCATATTTCACACCAATTCACCGTCTCACCCTGAATCACCACATAAAATCACCGTTTCAAGACTGATCTCAGCAGAAAGAACTTAAAGGCAGGAACGTCATATTCTACTTTCCAATGTGGCCACTGGTTGATTTTAGGCTTGTCACTAACCTCTCTGAGCCCAGATACTTAGTCTGTCCCAAGGTCAGCCTACGAGCATTTTCTGAGGTGGTTCTGTGAACTTCAGTCCCAGAACTCAGAACTCTGGAGCCAAATGGTCTCTGAAACCACTGCCCCTCCATCATACTAAGGTTCAGAGAAGGCGTGCACCAGGCCGCCACGAGCTGGTTTAACCCAGAAACCTAACATCAAAGCACCTACAGCAGCACCGCAGCTCCAGAACCTGTATTAGAGGAATGCTGGCCCGGATCTGCCCTCAGTGGGTTTTAGTCCGGGTGGGCAGGTGCCCAGTCCAGTGGGCAGGGCCGATGGCCACCCTCATCCCCACAGCGATCAAAACTACTCTCCCTTTATCCGTTAGGGCATTCCACTTCATAAAAGTGTGTCTGCTAAAGCAAAAAAACCAGTCTGAGAAGCACAGAAATAACAGTGACGGCACAAGCCTGCCAGCAGCACGTCACCCACCAGGGCAGCGAGAACCTCTGCCTCGGCCAGGTCACCTCCTCCTCCTCATCAAACCAAAACCAGCAATGCTAAGCAATGCCAAACTGAGTGCAAGTCCCCATTCACGTCACTGCCATCGCTCTGAACGCTGGTGGTTACTGACGCCATCACCATCTCTGTAAGGGCTGCCACCTCCGTCCCTACCACGGGGCTATCCGTGAATGAGCGCTTATCTAAGAATGAGATTCTCCGGTCACAGCGGCCATTCTTCTTCCAACTCTTACTTTGTGCAGGCTCTAGGCCAAGAATGTCATTTAACCTAATCCCTGGGGAAAATGGCTACAAAGCAGATACTATTATTACCCTCATCTCGTGGGGAATGAAATAAGGCTAGAAAGACGATCGTAAAAGTGGGAGCTCTTGATTGATGAGTGATGTCTGCTCTAGGTGCAGCATCAACAAGGTGATCAGTGAGTCTTGATTAGTAATGTCTGCCACAGGCGCAGCATCAGAGGTCCATACCATGTGCTCACTTCAGCAGCATATACACTAAAAACAGGAGGTCAGCAGCAGAGATGCTCACACAAGAGTGAGGGCAGAGAAAATCTCAAATTCAGTCCAAAGCAATCTCAAAGCCGATATGCTGCTATCTATATGCATCTCTTAAAACCACCAAGACCTTAGCTTCTTGAGACTAATGCATTTTAATGTTTTAAATCTTCCATAACACTGAGCATAGTACCAACACACACGTAAGCAGATGCCACCAAACACCAATTCCTCCTATGAGGAGGTGGACTTTGCATACTAAGGCTTGCTGTGTGCCTGCTGGAATGTGAGCTCCATAAAGACAGAAATGTTTGCATGCTGACTTCACTACTGTCTTCCCAGCACCTATGAAACCACTGGCACGATCAGCAACCATTTGGCTCTGTCCTCCTCACCCCTTGCCAGTTGGGGGCACTGATGGTACCCATTTTACAGATGGGAAAGCTATGGCTCAGGAAACTTAAATTCCCTCTCAGACTCTCAACCAGCAAGTGGGAAAGCCAAGACTTCAACCAGTCCACCCCTTAAATTCCAAACTCCACGCTCCTAACCAGGAAACTACCCCCTTAAAACTGATTCCTGGCACAGATGGTTTCCAAAGCCCCACTCACCTGCAGATGGGAATAGCAGGCACCAACTGCTTGGGCCAGGTTGGCGGCACCAGCAAGATGGGCTCTGGAGCCGAGTTCCTCCTCTCCTCCTGCTCGCAGGGCCCCAGGAACTCCACCGTGGGGTAGATGTGGCGGGGCAGGCCGGCCTTGGCCGGCGCAGCGGTCACCGGTGACGGGTCTGGGCTGGTCTTCCACACCTTGGGGGGGATCCCACAAGGCGAGTCGGTGGCGAGGCTGTTGAGGGCATCCATGAGGACGGCCGAGCCAGCTGCGGGGGGGTACCCAGCCGGGGCGCCGTCCTCCCTGGGGGCCACGTGAGATGAGGGCTGTGGCGAGGGGCTCCGGGAGCGCTGGGGTGAGGCTCCGGGCAGCGTGGCAACCAAGGCCTCTGCACACGAATGCCTCCGCTTGGCACCAGGTGACGAGGAGCGGGAGGCCGGACGGGGCACGGGCGAGTGGCGGCCCAGGCAGCTGTCCTCGGCGAGACTGGTCCGAGGTGACATTATTGGCGAGGTTCTGGGGGAATAATGAGCAGGGATGTTTTGAAACTGGGGACACAGGTCGTCCGGCCCGCCGTTGTTGGGCGAGACGCAGGGCGAGGTGTAGGGGGAGAAGGTGTCGGAAATGAAGCTGGCAGAGGAGCCGCTGCTAGCGGGGCTCAAGCAAAGCGGCTCGCGGTAGCCATCGAAGCCGGGCACAGGCAGGGTGAACCTCGGGCTGGCGGCCACCCCGGCCAGGGCTGGCTGCTCCAGCAGGAGGCCGGCGTCTCTCATGCGGAGGGGCCCCCCTGCCTGCATCAGTTCGTGGGACGGAGTGATCTCGATCCGAGGGCTCAGGCCCGAGGCCCCTGCTGGCTTGGCGGGGCTCAGAAAGTTCTGGGGCCCTATCCTATCCGGCTCTCCGAACCGGCCGGGGGGCTCGCCAGAGAGACTGGCGAGGGGGCTGTAAGGCTTGAGGCCACAGTCCGGGACATCATCGGGGTATGCGAGTCCGGAGGGTGGGCTGGCGACCTTATGTGCATTCGGCTCTTCTGGAAAGAGAAGGGGGGGAAGGAGGGGTCTTTTAAGCCTCTAAAACAGAACTTCCGTGCACAGCAATCACAGGCTGGGGGTTCTCTGCTGTCATTTATTTATGTTTCTAAGCTCCATCATGACAAATCCCAAACTGGGATGACCTCAGGCCATCACCTGGGGAAAGTGAGGCCAGATCCTCCCAAACTCCTTGCAGACGGAGATCAGAGAGGAACAGGCACGTCCTGGCTGCTGCATCGGTGGGAGGCTGAAAGCCTTCAGCAGAAGCTGACTGAGGCCACAGACCGGCCCACGCCATCCTGCACGCCTGCAGCTCAGAGGATACTTACCCTGCTGCGGCCTGGCCGCCTCTGGCCTCCCTCCTGACTGGGGTCATTTCATGTCACTGCTGGTCACAACCCAATAAACCGTTTCCTGTCTCAGCAGTCACGGCCCACCACTTGAGAAACACTGATCTAGATCCTTCTTATCATTCTACGCATATGATGTGGACACAGGACACGGAGGGGAACCGTGGGGGGCTCTGGCACGCGACACACTGCATCTGAACCCTACATGTTCACCCTCAAGTGTAAGTAGCAGCTTAATTCAGAACCAAGACTCGTGTCTCATCAGGGTCATTTTATGAGGCCCCGGGAGGGGAAGAGATTCACTGAGACACGGAATGCACAGGCTTGGAAATCCTGCAGACTCCCAAAAGCAGGATCGTGGCTGTAGAGTCCCCTAAGTGATGAGCTTCAGAGTCAGCAGAAGTGGAATTATCTACATTCTGTAATCGTGGCATCTGCTCCAGGCCTCTGCTGTCATCTCCAAAGTCTGTCCCCCTACACACACATACACACACTGCAGAGTGTTGTTCCAGATCATTCTGTGTCAATCACCTAAAGACACTGCCATCCCCAAGCTCACGCTGCCATGCAATGTCCAAGCCTCACTCCTGGCTGACAGACACCCATCTTGCCAACTTCTGTCCCTCACTGGGTCCCGCATGGCACCTTGGGAAGTCCCTGTGCAGTTAGCGAGGGAAAGGTCTGCCCTCACCCTGCTCAGTCTCAGGGCTCCCCACCTCTGCCCTCCCCATCAGCCACAGTGACATGAGCCAGCCGGCTCCTCACGTCACATCCCCACATCCTAGCCGTCAGCACATCGTGGCTGTCCCATCGTTCATGGAGAAAGGTCCACGTGTCACCTGGGGTTCATACCCCCGAGCTCCACCACCTGAGGTCCCCTCTCCCCCACGTTCCGGTCTCCATGCAGTAGCTTTTGGATTGGCCATTCTAGACGCCCTCCAGCAAGGCTTCCTGGAGCCCTTAGACGGGCCCTGAAGCCGTGTACACAGCCTGGCCCTGGCCCCGGGCTGTCTCCCCTCCCCTCCGCTCCACTGCTCCCCAGGCGGACCCAGCTGCAGCCCTGAGCTTCCCAGCAGCTCCTGCCTGGAGTCCCTGGCCCTGGCCCTCTCCCTGCGACTGTCCACTGTCACTTCATTCCCACTTCCGCTCAACCAGCACCTCCTCGGCTTGGTCCATCGGAAAGGTACCTCTGCCCGCTCCCTGCCCTCTCTCTCCATCAGCACACGGATGCCCTCCCATCTCATTGGCTGTTAATCCGCAACCCATTCTGTTAAGCCAGGGGCAGCCACACTACATCCATGTGGAACACAGCCACACCCGCACACCTACACAGGCCTAAGCCTTGCTTTTGTGCTGCACACAGAGCTAGGCACTGGGATGGAGACCGTGCGGGCCACAAAGCCTGAATTATCTCTTATTGGACCTTCATGGGCGTCTGCTCTTCTAAACTGGGCTGAGAGAGCCCCCAGGGCTGGGTCCACATCTACTGTGGTTCTCCATTGTCTGACAAGCACCTGCCACAGGACCTGGCACTTACAGGTCATGCATAAACGTCTGCTGAGTGGCTGAGAGAGTAAATAAATGCAGGGACCACTTCCAGGGCCTGCCAGCCGGGAACAAGACCTGCTCCCCAAACTGCATCACAGTCTCCTGCGTCAGGGCTCCTGGCTGATGCTCGGCCACCCTCAACATCCTTGTTGGTTTCCTGGGTATTGCATGAAGTCCAGCTTGGCTGTGCAGATCTCAGAGGGCTGGACAGAGCCCCCTCCAGATGACAGCGCCACAACAGTGTCCCACAGTTATTAGGGCAAAGATAAATGACCTTGATCAAGCCAGCCTGGCCAAGGCTTGTGCCCACCAACCTCACCTCTCCTCTCCTCTTCCTTCCCTCTGCTTTTCTCCCTGGACTTCAGCCAAAACGGGAGTTTTGGAGAAGCTCCTACCTCAGGACCTTTGCACTTGCTATTTCCACTGCCTAATCTCTTGTCACCTCTTTCTCTATATAACTCTAACCTACTCATGCCCATAATTTCTCAGTACTCTCAGGGCTCCCCGGCTCTGTTTCCAAATCCCGGTTAACTAACTGGGGGAGGGGGGTCCCATTTATTGGCTGCCTCTCCCTCAAGCAATGAGTAAATATCCCTGGCACCTGGCTGGGTCCTGCCCACAAATGGGCAGCACATCTAACCTAAAAGCGGGTGTGTGAGAGAGAATATAGGCATGCATTTGGGCACACACACAGCAGATGGATGCCTAGGTTCCTCTGCTGGTCACCGACAGGCGACTTCCTCCAGCAAGGCCAGCTGAGTAATCAGGGACACTAGTGTGGCAGAAAGAAAACTGTGACTTCTGTATTAAGAAGAAAAGAGAAATTCTCCAAACATTTTAAAGTTCTACCATGGGGTGGGGGTGGGCGTGGGGAGATCAGAACGTACCTATGATACTGAAACCCTGGTTTACCGAAGCAGGAAGCTGAGAACCCAACTCCCGCTCTGCCTCTAACTAGCTGTGCCACTCTGGAAAAGTCCCCACCCACCCGTGCCTCCACCCTCCATTTATAACAGAACAGTGCGAAACCAAAGCCGTCTCCTCGGTTGCTTCTGGCTCTGACACCTTTGCTTTTTGTAGCCAGAGTATGCAAGGTCTGCATGCAGTTCCTGTGACACAGTGCAAACCCGCCCTCACACACTCACACTCACACTCACACACTCACACTCACACTCACACACACACTCACACTCACAAGTGCAGCGCACACACCCTCCCGGTAGGTAGCAGGGCATGGATTTTTAATCTGGGGAAAGACGGGCATCAAATCTGACGCTATCCTAAGAATTCCCTGCCTTGCAAGCACCAAAAGTTTTTGAGCAAAAACACTAAGAAACAGCTAAGAAGCCTTCACACTGCCTTTAATTAGCCCACACGGCTAATTTTCTGCTTTTCTTTCCTCTCCCCGCGCCTATGAATGTTTAACAGCAAGCAGGGACCATGAAGGTAATTAATGATCACTGATCTCTCTGTCCTCCAGGTATCTGACACACAGCGCATCATTAGAATATTTAAGTGGCAGAGGTGCTTTTCCACTTTGGTGACAACCCTCCACAGCCCACTCGGCTGCTGTCTGCAGAAATTAGGTGCACCTCAAAGACACCAAATTTTCTCAGCAGGGATCCAAAACCATCTCGCTTTTCTTTCTACTTTTGTGATCTCTGCTCTGCCCTGCACCACCAGTAAATAGTATTTATTCAATATTTCTATTTAAATTCGCTCACGTATTTTAATTTAAAAGGAACCTTTACACCAGTACCACAAATAGAAGATCAGTTTCACCTCCACAAACAGAAGGTAAGGTAAAAACATGTGTCCTTTTTTTTTTTTTTTTAACTTTTTATCGGTACCAGGGATCGAACTCAAGACCGCCTGCTTGCAAGGCAGATGCTTATGCCGCTGAGCTAAATCCCCAGCCCCTATAAGGTAAAACCATAATCAAAAGAAAAGTTACTAAAACTCAAGCAAATGGTGGGAGGCCAAGTCTCTGAGCTCCAGCTGACTGTCCCTCTGAAATTCTTCTGTTGGTTTTTGTACCGGGTATTGAACCCAGGGCCCTAGTGCTAAGCTGTATGCCCAGCGCTTTTTATCTGTTATCTGGAGACAGGGTCTTGCTGAGTCACAGAGCTACCCAGGCTGGCCTCGAACCTGCGGCTCTCCTGCCTCCGAAGTGCTGGGGTTACAGGCAGGCAGCGCCACGCCCAGTGCTCATCTCCTAAGGAGGCTGAACACACACGGAGGGAGGGGCAGAGCTGGGTGAGTTCTGTCAACTGTGAAGCACCTCTACCAAGATGTGACCTCAGGGCCTCCCAGTGCCAAGCCCTGGAGGTGGGGGAGGTGTGTTAAAGACACAGCAGCACATCACTGAGACACCAGCCTGCTGGTGCCCGAGAGGGGGCAGCGCCAGGAGAAAAGCAGCTGCCGCCACGTGCGTGTGCGCCGTGCACTGGCAGTGGGCCACCTGCCCGGGAGGGCCGGCACCCCAGGGATGAGGAGGCTGGAGGCTGCTCTGGGTCCTCCTGCTCACAAGTCACTTCCTCTGCTCCCAAGTTCCCTTTGCCCAACTGTGCCACCTCATCCTGCGGGTCCCCCTACTCCCCAGGCTGGCCCAGGCAGCTCTCTGCTCCAGAGCCTCCCTGCCTGCCTCCCTCTACACCACGTGCTTTCTGAAGCCCAATGCGGGGTTTTACGGAGAAGTAGATTAACTCACTGAGAGCTCCCCAGTTTGAACTTAGCAGTCCCGTGCACCAACGCTTTGCTCAGACGTTCTCCATCTCGTGCTGGAGTGGGGGCTCTGATGGGGTCCAGCAGCATCCCTGGCCTCTGCCCATTGGCAGGGGCGCAGTGGCATCCCCGCCCCTCACCCGCTGTGGCCGTCAGGACTATCTCCTGCAAGGCACATCGCCTCAGCGGATGGTCACGGTCCCAGGTCTTGTATCTAAGCTGGTCCCAAAGGGAGATTGCTACTGTCCGCCCCAGAGGACAGGTAACCCAGTATACCACCCCATTATCTAGGCACCCATGAGTGTCTGGGAAAATCCCCAGCAACTCCCCAAAACTGCAGGACAAGACTATGGGGGGGGCCACGACCCCCACACAAA